CCCCGCGGAGCGCCCGCCAGGAGCGGCGTCTCCTCGACTGTGGCTTTCACCGGATGGGTTTACAGCCTTTCTGAGTCTATCAAAATGTTCCAGGTTTCTTAGTTCGGAAGCCTCAAATTAATAAAAATTGAAAGCTTTTCTCAAGACGGTATTTCTAGAGATCTCTTTGTCCGAGCTCTGTTCGATCTGAACAACTATAGTTGACCTTCTAAAAATAACTTTCAAAATCTTACACCTTCTTGGGTCTCAATGACCGTAGGTGTGTTTTTGATTTTGCTGTTATAACGGATGATGTATATGCCTTGAAAAAAGTAACTTAGCTTTTGGATTTTCTAGTCTTACAGTGCTTATAAATATCCTATAAATAAAAACATATCTAGTCTTCAGCCTGGAATGTTTTCCCTCAGAGATGAATTTAACGCCCAACTTTTTTTTTTTCTTTTTATTGAGTTTCTTGGTACAATCTAGGTATACAGTACAGTTACATTCATTGCTGGGATCTTGTACCTCCACATGACTGGTCTTGGTTCTCATTTTCCCCCTTGTCCTTGCCCTCCCTTCACCCGCTCCTCCCCTCCCCATTTACAAACACTTTATTTCCATTTTTTTCATTTTCTCATATTTTTTCTTTTCCCTTGTTCCCTTTCCCCTACCCTTCCCACTTTCCCTACACCCTTAGCCTTTTTCTTCCTATTTCACACTATTAATTATCCCATTAGGATCTTGTGTACTATTACAGTTTTTCACACCAAAGAGACTATTCAGTATTTACACGTGTGACTTATTTATTTCACTTAGGAGTATATCCTCAATATGTATCCATTTTCCTATGAATGACTAATTTCTCATTCTTTATGGCTGAGTAGTATTCCATTTTATAGAAAAACCACATCTTTATCCAGTTTCCAACAGATGGGCAAATGGGCTGTTTCCAAGTTTTAGCTATTACAAACTGTGCCACTATAAACATGGGTGCACATGTATCGCTGTGGTATGATTCTTTTATTTCTTTTGGAAAGACACCCAGCAGAGGGATGGCTGAGTCAAATGGAACCTCTAGTTAACGCCCAACTTTAATAGATAATTGTCTTATTTACTTTTCCCTTTGCCGTAGAAAATAACCTGACACCCAAAGGGGTAAGGGTTTATTAAGTCTATAATATGTGGGGTTTTGGCCCATAATTGGCTGGCTCCAAGGCAGGCTGGCACACAGCAGAGGGGCAACAGTTCATGGGGTGGAGGACAACAAAAGCAACAAGAGACTTTAAGGGCATCTTCCTGCCCCTTATCCACACTACCTAGGGAGGGCACCGCTCACACTTCTAATCCTAGTGCCCTCAGGCCTGAAATTCCTAGAATTGCCCATGCATCTTGCTCCAGCATCACACTCTCCAGATCCAGCCACCAGCAAAAAGCTCCACCTCGTCCTCATGAGGCTTTGGGGGGCAACTAGACACAAGCCATAACATTGCACCCTTGGCACATCCCTTTATGCAAAAGGCATTTAGTCCGTCTCCAAGAGTGACCAGAGTCCCAGTAGTTTCAGCATTGCTGAAAAGTCTAAGACCCAAGTCTTCTCTGAGATTTAAGGCAAGTTCATAGCTGCAAGTCCCTGTATAAATAAAAACAAAGTTAAACACTTCCAATATTCAATGACACAAGGTAGACATTTCCATTCCAAAAGTTACAAACAGGGATACAGAGGAATGGGACATAAAGCAAGACCAAAATCCAGTAGGGCAGACATTAAATCCCATGGTTCCACTTCCAGCATCTCCAGCAATCTGTAGCAAGTTGTAAACTCCGAAGGGCCTGCGTGGCTCTGCCCCTACGGCAGCCCAGGTGGCGGTAGCTTCTGTGGCTTCTCTCTTGGTCTGGTTCTGCTCCTTGTAGTTCTCAGACAATCCACATTCCTGGCTTCTCCAAACTTCTGGAGTCTCCTGTGCACCTTTGGCTTCACACACCGCCCTTTGAGGGACAAACTGCCCGGCCTCCCAGGCCTTCTTCTGAAGTCTGGCGGGAAACCTTCTGGACCCCACAACTCTTGCATCCTGCATGCACCTAAAACCAGGGCCACATGGATGACACCAAGGTCTGCCGCCAGCTGGAGCAGTAGCCAGGCTTCCTTCTCTCTTGTCTCTAGGGGTCCAGTGCCTATGAACCAAACACCAAGGAACAACTTCCCTAGATCTTCTTCTCTGGGTCTCAAAGCAAAATCTTTCACTTTTGCAATTTTGAGGCTGCAGAAGGTGGAGTCCTGCTGTTTCTCGCTCTGCCCTCAGGCCGTCTTTCCCTTCTGTTCTCTCTCAGCAATCAAGATCTCCCCTGCTCTATCTTTGCAGTCCACAGCTTTACTGGAGCTTTTTTTCTGGCCAAACTCAAAATGTTGTAAATCACTCTGCTGGGCTCTTTGCTCTTGATTCTCAACATAGATCTTGCTAAAAAGCCCCCAACAGCAGCCATGCCACTGCCCCAACATTACACTGCCTTGAAATTTCTTCTGCAGCATTAGTTTGTTGTCCTTAATCTTAGTCTCAGGCAGTCTCTGCACATGAGCAAACTGCAGGTAAACTTCCTACCAAGCCATAAGACGCATCATCTGGAATCCAGCAGCCAGCGCAGCCCTTCTTCGCAGAAGAAACCTCCCAAGACTGGTCTTTACCAGGAGGATTTCTATCAGCCTTCTGGTCTTCTGCACTTGGACCGGAATCTCCCATCAAGTGCAACCAAGGGCAGTCCAGCTCCACTTTTTCAGCAGACAACTCTGGACCTTTCCAAACTCTTCCCAGAAGCCAGTCCCAAAGGCTCTGAACCACAGGGGCAGGTACAGTCACCACAACGACCCCTCTTCTCTGGTACCAAGTTCTTAGTTATCTCATTTCCGAAAGAAGGTACCCGACACCCCAAGTTAAAGGGGGAGAGGTTTATTGAGCTCAGTTTATAGAGGTTTCATCCCATAATTGCCTGGCTCCACGGAAAGGTGGCACATGGCAGAAGGGCAACAGTTCATGGCCGTGGAAGACAGCAGAAGCAACAAGGGCCCTCAACAGCATCTTCCTGCTCTTTTTAATTTTATCCTGACTACTTAGACTCACTCCCTTCTCCTAGTGCCCTTAACCCTAGCATTGCACCATGAATCCATTCCAGCATCACACACTCTAGATCCAGCCACCTTCAAAAAAGCCCAACCTCATTTGCATGAGGGTTGGGGGACATCTAGACACAAGCCGTAACACCAATGTGCCCTAGGTCCCTCTTACTTGAATCTGTCTTCTCTTTGTAAAAGACTTCTGGATTTTCTTGGTTTTATTTCCATATCTCTGTCTTTGTATTTCATTGTAAAACACTTCAAAACCTTCTTAAAGTGAACAGAACTAAATTTAAAATAATGCAGTTTTTAAGTTAGGGATGATTAATTTTATGTTTTAATATATGGGAGGAAAAGTGAGCTCTAGATTCTTTGGTTGGGGTTTTTGGTTTGTTTGTTTGTTTGTTTGTTTTTTGCAGTACCAGGGACTGAACTCAGGACCTTGCGCTTTCCAGGCAGGCGCAGTGCCACTGAACTACATCCCCAGCCCTCAAGGC